TTTTTTTTTTTGTTTATTTTTTTGAAATTGTGGAAAAGTTGTTTCAGAGCAGTGCTTTTTTAGTATAATTTATATAGTTTTTTTTTTTCAATTAGTATTGACTTCATATTTAGAATTAGCCTTTATTTTTATATTTTCAATTTTCATTTTCATTTTGGTTTAAGTTTTAGTAATTTTAAGTGCTTTTATTGTTTTATTAGTTTTTCTTATTTTTAAGTTATATTTCTATATAGCTTTTAATTTGTAACTTTTTTACAAACATATTTGAATTAATGTTGAATTAATATTTAGAATTAGCTTTTATTTTTATGTTGTTTCCATTTTAATTTTATGTGCCTTTGTCATTTTTATTAGTTTTACTTCTTATTTTTTTATTATATTTCTATATAACTATAATTTATAACTTTTTAAAAAATATATTGTGATTTGTTTGTTGTTGTTTTTTTTTAATTGGCATACTTAAACATCTAATTTTTGTTTACATTTGTTTTTCATCAAAACAAAATATTTGTTCATCAAATATTTATATTTCATTATATTTCAGCTGTATTTCTCTTTATTCTTTAGAAAAGCATTAACATAAACACTTAAAAATAAATCATCTTTATTGCCATTATGGTTTCATGAAGAACCTTTAATATCATGAAACATCTCCGTTGCACAAAAGATTCTAAGATAATTTAAATGCTCTTCACGCTGAAAAAAAGGTTATTTTAATAATGTTTTTGTTAAGGTTCTTCTATGACAATGCTATGGAAACCTCTTTTGGTTAAGCGTGAATCTGATGCTTTGAAGAACCCAGAAACCAAAACACTAACTATAATTTATAACTTTAAAAAAAATATATTGTGATTTTTTTGTTGTTGTTTTTTTTTAATTGGCATACTTAAACATCTAATTTTTGTTTACATTTGTTTTTCATCAAATATTTATATTTCATTATATTTCAGCTGTATTTCTCTTTATTCTTTAGAAAAGCATTAACATAAACACTTAAAAATAAATCATCTTTATTGCCATTATGGTTTCATGAAGAACCTTTAATATCATGAAACATCTCCGTTGCACAAAAGATTCTAAGATAATTTAAATGCTCTTCACGCTGAAAAAAAGGTTATTTTAATAATGTTTTTGTTAAGGTTCTTCTATGACAATGCTATGGAAACCTCTTTTGGTTAAGCGTGAATCTGATGCTTTGAAGAACCCAGAAACCAAAACACTGATCTGAAGAACCTAGAATGAATCATCAAGAACTTCTTTTAATCTTCACAAAACCATAAATCAACTAAAGAAAGTGAAAATGGTTCTTGATGAGAAGAAGGTTCTCGGTTAAACCTGAGAAACACTGAGTGTTTGAGACTGAAGCACAGGAGAGAAATTTTTTTTTTGACAGTTATGTATTTATGTTGTCATCTTGCACAAAACTAATGTGTGTAGCATTTGTTTGTCCTTATCTCAGTTGAAGAGGAGAATCCAGAGTTCTGGAGGAGTTCGGCTCAAAACACACTGCGTTCGGCTCTCAGCAGAAAACTCAACACTAATGTGGCCAAAAACATTGTGCTGTTTCTGGGAGATGGTAAGATGAACATTTTACAACCTTCAGCAAAGTGCTTAAGATTAAAGCAAGACACTACAGGTGAACAGGGTACCATTTTATTAAAGTTTAACTAATAGATATCACCATACTTCCCCAGTTGATTAATCACAGTACATTAAGACAATTGTTTTCTATTACAAGTTTTCTGAAATATGTAAATGAGGCATTAACTAGTTAAATTTCACTAATTTGCACGCATTTCCAGAGAATATAAAGTATAAATCTGAACACTGGATAAAGCCAGGTTCAAATATTCTTCTTTGATTTTGTTGACAGAAAGGTTTTTACTGAGGGGATTTTAGATTTCTCTTTTTATCACTCCATAAAACAAAAAAAAAACACTTTCACCATGTTTTTAGGAATAAAATGTTATATAAATCAGTGTGAATGATATATAAACAAACCCTTCTATAAAAACCTTCAGAATATAGAGAGGAATAAAACTCTAAGTTTTGGTGTTTGAAAGTGCTGCTGAAATAGAGAAAAAATTTAAAAGATATGGATAGTAACTGAAATCTATAGACGCAAATAGATAAAGTGCAGTAATAAAACCATGCAAATGATATATAAACAAACCCTTCTATAAAAACCTTCAGAATATAGATAGGAATAAAGCTCTAAGTTTTGGTGTTTGAAAGTGCTGCTGAAATAGAGAAACAATTTAAAAGATATGGATAGTAACTGAAATCTAGACGCAAATAGATAAAGTGCAATAATAAAAACATGCAAATGATATATAAACAAACCCTTCTATAAAAACCTTCAGAATATAGATAGGAATAAAACTCTAAGTTTTGGTGTTTGTAAGTGCTGCTGAAGTGGAGAAAAAACTCATTTTGAGAAAACGGCCTTTAAAGATATATATTGTAACTGAAATCAACAGACGCAAAATAGATAAAGTGCCATAATAAAACCAGATGAATGATGTATGAACAAACCCCTCAGTAAAATCATTCAGAATATAGAGTGGAATAAAACTCTAAGTTTTGGTGTATGTAAGTGCTGCTGAAGTGGAGAAAAATCTCTTTACAGATATGTATTGTAATTGAAATCTACAGACGCAAATAGATAAAGTATATTAAAATAAACTCATAAATGTGTATTTTGGATGTTTTCTTTCCACTAGTCTGAAAGAAGGCATGTTATTCAAACAAAATAGTCCAAAATCATATAGACCAGTGAATGAAAAAAAAAAATGTTTTTTACCTGTAGTGTTTTATCTTAAAGCTCAGCACACAAATCACAAACCTCGCATCAGCCAATCAGATCAGGCCATTTCAGACGTGTATGTGTGCTATGCAGTGAGCAGCTTGTATGTGATGATGGAGTGTGTTGTTTTGGACAGGTATGGGTGTTACCACCATCACAGCTGCCCGGATCCTGAAGGGTCAGTTACAAAACCGCTCTGGAGAGGAGACCGTCATGAATATGGACACGTTCCCATTTGTGGGTCTCGCTAAGGTAACCAACAGTTTCCTTACGTCTGTCATTGGTCAGTCAAACAGATAGACCCGCCCCCAAACTCACTCTATTGGTTGAGTCGGAAGTTGACATGTTGAACTGCTCAAACAGATCACGTTGTGAAGGTGTTTTGGATGTCAAACCAGTTAAATTAAATACTATTATAGTTTTATAATTATTTTTAATTAGCTTTTATTTTTATATTTTCAGTTTTCATTTTAATTTGATTTAATTTTTAGTAATTTTGTTATGTGCTTGTGCTTTTATTTTTATATTACCGTTTAGTTTTAATTTATTTTTATTTCAGTTTTAGTTAGTAGTTTTAATTTATTTCCAGTTTCATCAAATATTGAAATTTTGTTGTATTTCAGCTTTATTTCAGTTACTATAAATGTTTTTAATAGTTTTAGTTAAATTATTATTTTAGTATTACTTTTAATATTTTGAATTAATTTGCTTTTTTTTTTTTAAAAAGCAATAAAAATGCTTTATAATTTTAGCTCAAGTTTTAATAATTATGTGCTTTTGTCATTTTTATTAGATTTTTGTTGTTATTGTTTATTTATTTCTTGTTAGTAATTTTAGTGCTTCAACTTAAACTGACTTCAGTTATTTGCCAAGGCAACATTTAAAAAAAATTTAATTTAATATTTATTTTACATTTTATTTCAGCTTTCGTTGAGTTAATGAAAATGTTTTTAATATGTTTAGATAGTTAAATGATTATTTTAGTATTGTTTATATAATATAAATATTCTATTTATAGATAAATTTTAGTAATTTTTATGTGCTTGTCATTTTTATTATTTATTTATTTATTTTAGTTTAGATATTTTCAGTTAGTAATTTTAGTGCTTCAGCTTATTTCAGAAAATTGCCAAGGGAGCATTTTTGTTTAATGTTCATCTAATATTTAATTATATTTCAGCTTTAGTTCAATGAACAAAAATGTTTTAGTTTTAGTTAACAATATTAACCCTGTGCCAAACTCTCAGTGACTGTGAATGTGTGTTTGCAGGTGTATTCGGTGGATTTTCAGATTCCTGACAGTGCAGCGACGGCTACAGCGTATCTGTGTGGCGTCAAATCCAACCTGAACACTGTGGGTGTGAGCGCAGCCGCTCGCAACGGTGTGTGTCGCTCGCAGAAGGGCAACGAGGTCACGTCCATCCTCAAATGGGCTAAAGACGCAGGTACACAAGCAGAGGATTTCACTCTTAAAATAAGCAAAGTGTCACTCAAACCCAAACGTGGCCATAATGAAGATCACAAACCCCACATGTACACATAAAAACACTCACATTTGCCCTTCTGCATGCAACAGCTTATCTGAGTGTTTCGGGTGTGTTACCTTGAGTTTATCGTCAATTTCAGTATTATCTTCTATCTTTCTGTTATTCAAGCCATAAACAGTGCTGACATAAACTCTCTGTGCGTGTGTGTTAGACGTATTGCTGTTTTGAAACCGTAAATATTTTATATTGTATTATATATAATATATGTGACCCTGGAGCACAAAAGCAGTCTTAAGTCGCTGGGGTATATTTGTAGCAATAGCCAACAATACATTGTATGGGTCAAAATTATCAATTTTTCTTTTATGCCAAAAATCATTAGGATATTAATTAAAGATGATCCATGAAGATATTTTGTAAATTTCCTACCGTAAATATCTGGTTTTGTGGTCCAGGGTCACAAATATTATATTTTCTATGCTTGATCATTAACTGACAGCAAAGAACCATGCAAATGTGTTGTTAAATTATTGAAATATTAATTTAAAATCTCAGGAAGACTTTAAGCTAATATTTTAAATCAAAGAGGTTCGGCTGATGAAAAACTTCAGTAATCCTTGCTTTATATCATTATCAGCAGAGAGTTGAGGTTGTTGTATTTTTGTCATATTTGGTGGATCTCATCCTCCTTTATTCCATCTGAAAATGCTTCAAAAATTAAGCTCATCAATCATCCATTAAATCTAGTGTGCTAAATTAATTCATTTATCTTCTTCCTCATTTCATTCATGATCACACTGAATAATTCAAGATTTTATTCATTCATCATTGGCTGGTTTTCTCGATGGACGCTGAATTACAAAATGCTCTAATAATCTACATATCAAATAATTACTAGCAGTCGGTTGCAACAAAGTAATCACTTCGTTTTTAATTTTAGACTTTTAGACTGATTGTGAGTGTGTGAGTGAGTGTGTGTGAGTGAGTGTGTGTGTGTGTATGATTGTGATTGTGAGTGTGTGTGTGTGAGTGTGTGTGTGTATGATTGTGATTGTGATTGTGAGTGTGTGAGTGTGTGTGTGTGTGTATGATTGTGATTGTGATTGTGAGTGTGTGAGTGTGTGTGTGTGTGT